ATACCAAAGTGATATCACGAAGAAGGTATAGCCCAGCGGAAGAAATTGGGAAAGTATGTAACACAAAGAAAGAGAGAGAGAGAGAGAGACAGAGAGAGAGAGATGTAGATGAATTGTAAAGAGTATATACCTCAGAAGATAGATGAGAAGATGAAGAACTGATGAATGACTCGCAATAGGGCGAGAGACAAGGCGTGATGCAGTGAGAGGGAAAAGGACGGAAGAATGTAAAGACGCGATGTCCAAGAGGTCAATATAGGAGATCGACCCTCAGAAGACTAAAGTCGCCGCAAATAACATTCTGCCATATACCGATCAGTATCCCCTCCCACTCGAATACTAATAAACAAGCGCTGCCCTCCTACGACATTTTCATCAATTACAATGTTTACAGTTGCTTTCAGTTTGGTCGGGAGGACATGCATCGGCTCGGGGCCCCTCGGGCATCTTCGGGTTCATTCGGTCGTTCGACCGGTGTGCAAGGCAGGTGCTCTGTTTCTTATTATATGCTATGAATATGGGATAAATTCCGGAACTTCAGTAGCGTGCAGCCTGTTATCATTTTATCTGGCTCGTATTAATGCTGATAAAGAAAGATGCAGCGTATCAAATTATCCGAAGTAGGATTTTCGAACACAGCCCTGAAGCCCAACGAGAGTTGAAATATATTGAATGTATATCTATAGTTTACTAACATACAGATATACAAAAGATCGAATCATTTTCCTTTGGAGTGCCTTCTCGCAATATACATATATGTATGTCGAATATATACATACATAGATGAATATTGTTTTTCGAATGCCTATTGCGTCTTTTGTACATATGTCGGTGAACATGTTATTCCCGGTATTCATTGCATGTACAAGAATAATGTTTTGCACGTATGGCATATGTAATCCGCATAATTTGCACATTGATCATATAAGGCTAGTTACAGCCTGACCATTAGTCTGACCAAATTGAAGAAACGAATACATCGACTACCTTTCCAAAGAATATTACTTGAGTCGCAGGCATCCCTGCTGCTAATTCAGGGCTTGCATGACTTTCCATAATAGACTTGAATGAACATCTATCATTTTGCATCATCAGTGTCAAAATCCTGACTCAATGGCGGCAGCGACCGATTCGCCTGTCAATGTGGTCGAACACTCTGAATTGAAAAGAGAATCGATCGAGCACGCTTGGTCGAACACATAAGGCACGTATAACCTTCCGGATGATCCTCTATCATTTCTAAGCAGTATCTAACGGAGCCTGTTTCCTCTTAACTGTCTGTTCGGTGGTGTAACACTTTTTTTCAAAAGTGGATACTAATACACAGCTCCGCGAGCTGATTCTCACTAGCCGAACAAAGCAGAAATAGTAAGAGTAACGCTCCATGATCATAGGCTCAATTGTTATAGAGTCAACGTGTTGCTCCGCGAGCCTTGAAAATAACCGCGAGCGTCTTATTCGACTTATCGAAATCCTAGCCGATCAAAGTCCTCGCGCGTAATGAGAGACTTTACCATTTTCTTAGTAAGACTTTCCGTCAGCAGCCATCCTCACTTGCCGCCAATCGCAACGTGCGCTTCCTTCTCTCGATCCACGGTTCTCGCGCTTCCTTCTGATTTCATTCTTTGCCGTGGAATCTACTTTCGCATCACAAAGAATAACAGAATATCTATGTGAAACTAGAAGAGGAGATCTTCAGAGAAGGGTCACACTTATAATTGATTGTTGACACGAAAAAGAAGAGGTTACCGAAAGACAATATTTATCGAAGCCCTCTTCGCCCCCCCCCCCCCCCCCCCCTCTTCGCCGCACTCTCGCTCACCACGTTGATATTACACTTTCGTAGATGAAAAGACCCCTCGTCCGTTTTCCTAATACGTTGCGTGATCGAGACTTGGCTACGCCTTAAGGCGCACGCGAGGGAACAATGAAGACGGACGGAAGGAAGAGGAATGGCAGGAGACGCAAGCGTCTGCTCTATCCCATCCGTCCTATGCTGTGGAGTTCTGTGCGGCGCGATTCGGATGACCCGATAAGCGCGCCCACCCGAATCCTCCGAATCCGATTCTCCGGCGACGCGCGGGAGAGCCTTGAAAATACTCGAAAGTTCTTCCGCGCGGCTCGATTCGAGCGACCTAACCCTTTCACGCATAAGGAAAATCCACCTGATTGCAAGTTCAAAGGACGCCCCTAATAACTAAACTCCAAGAGTCGAACAGAGTCCAATGCGCCGGATCGGGAACGGACCGAGAGTCCCTTATTTGTTAAGAGCCACCAGTGACGACCGAGGAATCGATTCGATAGGAGGAATCGGTATCGATAACAGAAGAGGCGCAGTTCCTCAAATCTGGAAAAGCATTTCAAATGATCTGCAGATTCTGTATTCGCATCAAACTTGAACGTTGGATGGGACTTTTTCTCAGAGTCTGCGAGTTCCAAGAATTCACGAGCACGATTCACGAATCTCACGTAACTTGACTCGTAACCCAACGTAATTCGAGACGTAATTCAACTTATTATAATTCGACTGGCGCGCTACGTGACATTCTCATAAAGACCAAGTGATAACGATAAATTGCTCCAATTTTCCTACCCAAGATTATCATGAGGTTCTAATTAAGGAAGGAAAAGGGGGACAAAAGGACTCACTCCTACTCATTGGCAGACTTTTATAACAATTAGCGCCCTTCTGCCTTTGAGTGCAGCCTTTTAATAAAATCATCGAGATCCCTCGGTCCATCGTCCATCCCTTCCCCGTTCCCCGGCCGCCGTTATAGTCGCGACCAACCAGCCATTCGATTCTCGGCACATTAGTTTCCTACTTCCCCTCTTGACCTCCATTCCACTTGTAACGAATATGTCGGCCCAGAGAAGAAACTAACTCGCCTTTCTCTATGGGAATAATCTGCGAAATGGGAGTCAATGTGTGACAGAGGGTTTCATAGCAATTCGCGACCAAACCATTTCCATTGTCTGTTAAAAATATAAAAAAATCATTCGAATGGCCACTGTTATCGAAATCGACGCTGAACGTAACGCGCCATTGGTCATTACGTTGGAAAAACGTTACGTTACGCTCGCAGCCAGTTAGTTATTTTATTACGGGATAGCTGAATAGTCGCTGATTGGCCGAAGCGCATGGCCAAATCGATTCTTTCTTGACTCGCGACTAAAATCGTTGGAATAATGGGAAATTAAGGTTAATTGAAATTTTGCGAATTTCGCGTGCCGAATGTTCATTCTCAAATAAATTTCGTTATTGGCAGACACGTTTTCTTTGAGGTATCCAAGGACAACAGAGGGAACAAACTGATGATCGTGTAGCTTTCGGACCATAAATAAGCGCCAGCCTATTATTTATAGCAACACTATTTTTCAGATAAATAAAAGAACTAAGCAAGAGTGAAAAATAAGAAAAGACGCAGGCAATTGGAAAACTGACCGGTGGCCTGGAAAATGAAGAGGATAACCTGAATTACAGTATACGACGCGCGCAACGCCATCCTGCAATTGACAGCTGAATATTTGCACTAGGAAACTATTGCGTTGTCTCTTCCTCTACCGAAGAAACTAAAAGCACGTAGCTCAAGCATTTAAACGAGCGAGCACGATCCTAAATAATTATGTCATTGCTGATAAGACACTCGAAGCGAAAGGTGAGAGACAAGGAATGAGAAAAAAAAAGAAGGGGATAACGCCTGGCGAAAGTGACTTGTCAAGGTACAAGACTGACTACTTAAAGAAAACGAATTTAAGAGACGTCAGGATATAAGTAATACTCGGCGTTTACAATTGCTAAACCGCAATTTATTGAGTAATCAGAAATTCCGTATTCACTCTAATAAACATTACAAACCGAAAGATAAGCCAGCCACTTTTCATGAATAATGTAACCGTTAAGTAACAATTAAATATTCACGGCGACGCAGGGCATCGGAAGCAAAGATCTCAATTTGGCAAAGTTTCTGCTTACGCCGAAGATGCTTCAACCCAAAATCATTAAAGTCACCCGATAACGTAATCGTTCAACGACGATAACCCTCGCTCTTGTTTTCATCGACGCGTCGCCGTGCGTATGTCAATGGATAATCCGGGAGGCTGGTTTCCGATTAGTCTTGCGTCAGGCCTCTATGAAAACGAAAGATATGTCTGGGTGCGTTGTCTCTCGGGCGACATCTTCGCGCGTCATTGTGCGAGACACCTCGTGGACCTCACCGACATCACCGACCTCACCGTTTCGTCCGCCGCAGAATCCAAGTGAAAGGGAGAGAGAGAGAGAGAGAGAGAGAGAGAGTCTAGAAATTGGAACAAGTAATTGGATAACGGTACGTGTTTGGCATTGTGCGTTCGTAAAAAGTACGATTCGTGCTCTCGTTCACAAAGTACAGAAGGATTAGGACAAACCGAAAAAGAAGCGTGAAAATATTAAATACGGGTAGACAAAAGGTAACTAAAGAAATTTCTGAGATTTTTAATATTATCCCAGACAAGGCATATGTTGAAAAGTCATCCTCAAGATGTCTTCTTAAAGACAACTTCTGTGTTTTTAGACGTCTTAAAGACGACTTTTGAACATTACGCGTTGTCTGGAATAGATAGTAATAAAATCGTGAAATTTCAGTAAACGACGTGAACAGTCAGTCGATAAATTCAATTGCCCAATCTTTATTTATACGTATATTCTTTGTTCCCTTTGAAAAATATAGTTCCTATTAACTTTGTAATTTTGAGATAAATTAGATACAAGAGAATTCCTCTGAAGTCCTAATAACAGTATAACAGTGTACCGAAACCCAGGATATTTTCTCTATGAGCGTTGCAATCGTATTGCATGCATGCGTACTTTGCGTCTCGAATATATGTATATATAGATAATTCATTTTTATTGACAGGGTATGTATATTTTTTTATAGAACCATATATCACAATAAAAAAGCCATATATCAGGCATAGAACTAAATTTCCATTGCAAATGCTTAATGCACTTAAATAAGACTCGGAAATCGTAAAGCGAGGACTCCTTGAGCGTGGACGACCGTTCGCGCAGTTTAAAAGCAGCGGCCATTAGTCGCCTGCGTTGCATCAAACTCTCATCCCACATGCGACTTCCTGCTGCTATGCGATACTTCCTGCTGCTGGCCTCCCTCGTGCTTATCGGTAAGTGACAATGGCAACCCATATTATAGTGCCAATATACGATAAGTAGCTGTTACACGATGCGACATTCAACGGAAAACACTTTGTTCGACAGTAAGCGCGAGCGACGAGTGCATCCCCCGTGATTTTGGAAATGACGGAACGGTTTGCGTGTGCAATTCTACCTATTGCGACGTTACGCCAGAGCCATCATTGCCGAAAGAAGGAAGCTACCTGCATTACGTCTCGAGCAAACGTGGTCAGCGATTCAATCAAACCACCGGAGAGTTCAGCAATGAACCAACCAGTGAGCTCAATTTCAATCTAAACAGAAGTCTAACCTACCAATCAATCACCGGATTCGGTGGCGCATTTAGCGACTCTGCTGGAATAAATATTAAAAACTTGAGCCAAGCCGCCCAGAACAATTTGATGGAGTAAGTGGAAAAAGTGACTTTGCCTCTTGGGGCCGCGCTAACTTTTCGGGAGTTTCTTCAGGGCCTACTTCGGCGTCAATGGAAGCAGATACAATTTCGGCCGAATACCGATCGGTGGCTCCGACTTTTCCACCCGCAAATACACCTACGACGATTCTCCAGACGACATCAGTCTCGCGCAGTTCGCGCTGGCCGACGAAGATCTGCAGTACAAAATACCCTTAATGCAAAAAGCCTTGGAACTAAATCCCGATTTAAAATTCTTGGCTGCCCCCTGGACGGCACCGCCATGGATGAAAACTAATAACGATTATAACGGGATCGGTAATCTTTTAATTTTACTTTCCCTTGATCACTCGCGCTTCTAGAAACGATACAGTTTCAGATTTTAGGCTTTCGCGGCCAATATTATCATTAATACTCATGGTTCCTGGATGGCAGCCGCGTCTGTGTTCAGCTTCGTGCCGACGTTTCGCAAACGTTTCAGTCCGCATCATCACGACTAGGAGGCTCCGATACTCAAGCTCCCTGTTATCGGGAAGTAGAACTAGCTAGTATTTCTGTCTTTTCATATTTCACAAAGTTTTCCTCCACATACCGGTACCATACCGATGGTTTTAGAATAGTTCCTTATATTTGCAAATATCTTCAATGTTACATCGTATTGAATTTGAACGAAATCGGTACAGATTCATGGGATATTCAATTTTTCAAAAAAAAAAAAAAATTGTTAACCTTATCCACTCTAATTAAAGACAATGTACCAAGGATGCAAAGTAGAACCTTGCACAGTTTTTTCTCAATGTTTTTCAATTTTCAGAAAGCTTCCTATATGGGGAAGCCATAATTAATCAACGTACTTCCTCGTAGAAATGGCTTTGAGAAAAGCGGAAAGTAATGAAGAAGCAATGTGCTGTGTTCCACTTTGCATCCTTGTTTTTTTTGTTTTTTTCATAAAATGTGGATCCAATTGTCAATGCAGGATTTCTCAAGAAGGAGTATTATCAATTATATACGGATTATTTGATCAAGTTCATGGATGCGTACAAGGACTACGGTTTGGAAATGTGGTCACTTTCTACGGGAAACGAGCCGTTCAATGGGTTGATACCAATCATTTCAATAAACAGTATGGGATGGACGCCATCTTCTTTATCCAACTGGATATCAAACAATTTAGGACCTACGTTGCGCGCCTCGCCGTACAACGCTACCAAGATCTTGACTCTGGACGACCAGCAATTCGAGTTACCTTGGTTTATTGCCAAACTCTTCAAAGACCCAAAGACCAAAAATTACACGGACGGCGTTGCTTTCCATTGGTATTGGGACAATTTGATCGGGTCGTCGGTTCTCGATGCGACACACGATGAATTTCCTGATAAATTTCTCATTATGACAGAAGCCTGTGCCGGTCAGTATACAATCCTGGCTGATACCGAGAATACGAATTATCAATGCGACATCCGATAGCAGCTACAAGTCACAATTTCGCGGAAATGAAAGCTAACTGTCGCCCGCAAATCATGTTTCCGCTTGAAGATCTTACTCTCGCCAAATCACATATTTTTCATATACTGATACCTAGTATGTCGCATTGTTTTTATTATCGATTACTTTATTGCCGTTAGTCCAAGTAATTGAAAACTACGTTCGAGCTTGTGAAAGGCGATCCAGTGCTAATTCGTTTCCTCAATCGACAATACACTTTTCCGCTCAGTGTGTCGAGATGTCTCATCTGTACTTTTTTTCTTCAGGAGCTTACCCCACGGACGTCGAGAAGGTTATGCTAGGATCCTGGACGCGGGGAGAGTCTTACATCTTGGACATAATCGAGGTGCGTCAATAATATAACCCATTGAGGCTACCGTTAAGCTATTCTAGGTGTGCATACGTACATGGCGCTATGACGTCGGAAGCCAGGAGAGCGTTACAGCCCTTTCGATTCTGTTATTTTACATTGACTCGTGAAAATATTGGTTTAGTCATCTTCCTTGTGCGTCAGAGATCCGGGTGAGCTTCCTTTAAGTGCATCGAATGTCTTAATGTGAAGAGTAATCTTGGAGAATGAAGATTACACATAGAATAACTGAACAGCGGCCTTAAGCCAATTACCTTAACTGAGACACGTAGTTACCAGTTTCTTTTGCTATTTTCTTTCTTTTTCTTCTTTTTTTTTTCTTTTTTGTTTTCTTAGAACCTCTCCCATTGGACAACTGGCTGGATTGAGTGGAATCTTGCACTTAATGAGAAAGGAGGTCCGAGTTGGACTACAAATTTTGTCGATTCATCGATTATAGTTAATGCCGAAAACGATGAATTTTACAAACAACCTACATACTACGCACTTGCCCACTTCAGCAAATTCATACCCCGCAATTCCGTTAGGATTGACCTTCCGTCGAGCAGCGACATCAAGTCCGTAGCTTTTATCACTCCAACAAATGATACGGTCATTGTGCTTTACAACAAGTAAGTCTACAATGATCGATACATAGATACGATAGATGTAGGACAAGATTCGTAAATGGAATCAACGTGTCAGGGAAGATCATCCCCCTGACGTTACAGTATTTGGCCTCAAAATGGCGATCATGCATTGCTCGTATACTGATTCGTCAACATAGTAATAACTGGCACATCACATATACACGGGATTCAAAATGGTACCCACGGGAAAATCTTCCCTTGACGCCTTCCATTCACAGACCTTAACGTAGACCAGACAACATTAACGGATGTTCTGCACTTCCGCTTAGGATGCGAACCCGCACGTTCGCAATTCAGGGTCGCGCCACAAGCACGACTCCTTTCTCACTTTCTTTGTTTCAAATGCATCTGTCGGTGATATGCGTTAATGTAATCTTTTCCTTAATTGCTGAATCCTTTCAGGAACGGGACTGCACAAGATCTATCAATAAAAGATCCCAACAGAGGTTATATAAACGTAAAACTACCAGGAAGCTCTATTCACACGATCATCTACAAGTAAATAGATGACGGGAAACGCAATTGGAAAGACACACGGATATGACGTCAAATAAAAATATACTTTCTTTTCTCAAACTGTATATAATACCAAAGATATGGTTTCTATAATACATTGTGTATCTGATTAACTCATTACACTTACTTCATTAAGGGTAATATGTGTTTGCCCATTTCTTCCTACTCTTTGGGCCACCGGGTCTCAAAGCCTTTGGTATATATTCAGGTGTATGGTCGTCCAATCGGCGACGTCCCATATTGATGTTGAATTGCCACGGCTCCCGTCTCTTTTCCATGGGTCTTCTCTTATTATCGATCATGTAAATTTTCTGCCAGGCATAGATTTCGGGCCTCAACCTAAGATAAATAACAATTCATGGTAAATATTTCCATAGTGTAGTCTAGCAAAAAGTGGAAACAATTTAATTCTATAAGTAGCCTTTTTAATTCCAGCAAGAAAGGTAGTGTACCTATGCCTTGGTCTGTTGGATACAAGATGCTTGTAATGTTTTTCTAGCCACGCGCGTCTCTCGGGATCCTCGATATCAGCCACGACATTTTCAGTTTCGCCCAAGTACGGCTTCATATTAATACCCACTCGTTCCTGCGGCGCATTCGCGTAAAAACTCACGATATACCTGAGCACATCCTCATTAAATCCAACGAGTTTGCCATTCTCCACTTTCTCAAAGAGTTTCAAGGGTTTTGTAATCCAGCAAACGTTTCTTCTGGGATTATTGTTCACATGATCCGAGTGTACTACTGTAGTGTTCAATTGGTACGCAGAGAATGACCATGTCTGACCATTAGTTATAATTGTTTGCGTCACCAGAGGATACGTTAAGTCATTAAACGTTGAAAATCCTTAAAACAAAATTCGTTTAAAAACTATAGCTATCGTTCACAAGAATCGCTGCAATCAGTGCAATAATATTCTTAGTAAGAAATATGGTTAGCAACATGTTTTTTTACACAAACATAATTTGTACCTTGATAACAAGCTTGCGAAAGTAACCATGCATAAGACGCCAATAGAGATTGCGTAGAAAGTGCATCGATTTCATCGTTATATTCTTTTGGTCTTATTGTTAAATAACTACAATTATGGTAAGACAATCCACCAAATTCACTTTTATCCCCTGGCCAAAAACCTGGAATACTTGTACCATGCTGCCATTCGTGTGAATACCCCAGTGTTCTTGGATCCAAGGTATACTGTGGCACTGTTAATGCCGGATTTTCCGATTCACTTAAACTAATAAACTCATGTAATGGAAAATCGTATCTCAACTGCGCAATTGGCTTTCCTTTGTATTGAATGTGCCTATCTACGGGGTCGTTGGCATATTTTTTTAAATAAGGTACATTCTCTTTACATTTTTGGACTTGGTAAGTTGGATCTATACCACCAACAACCCAAAAAGCTTCCAGTCGTGAATTATAATCCACCTGAGTTTCCAATAAATGCGAATACTTGGAGGAAAGATTAGCTAGTAAGATTCTGTTTACTTGCCGTACGACTGCCTCAGCCATTGTACTGTCTATCAGAAAGCGATTTTCAAATTCATTCTCAGACAATATACCCTCTCTCCTGTAACAATGAATGAGTGACCAATGCATTTCAATAAGTATAATCTTATAAGATACCTCTAAAGGTTATGAATGTATAAGGAAAAGAAACAATCTATTTACTTTCTGTCAATGTATTCGAATGCAATGGCATCTTCCACTTGACTCCTAATTTCTTGAACAATGTGGTCCAATTGATCAGAGCCTAATAGAGTTTCATAATAGGAAGGTAATTTCATATCTTTTACCAAATGCGTTCTGGTAATGTACTGTGCCTGATCAAGACTGTTGTACGGTATCTGATATTCGTGCATCATCAATGATTTCCAGCCATAGTAGCGTGGCACATTGATTTTGAATAACTTTTCCTCGACCGTTTTAATGCTCTTAATATCTTCGTGCCATTTTTCGTATGTTCTCCGACGTCTCTCTTTAAAGAACTGATCCTGTATAGGTGGATACTGGGGTGCTTTCTTCTCATGCTTTTCACTCGATGCTGGAACCGAGTAATTTCTCACGATGTGTCCAACTGATGAATCAAACCCTCTACAGAACCGAGTCTTTATCCTGACTAAGGACATTCTCGTCATGCTAAACCTCTTGAATGTCACTCAATGATTAAAGCTGATCAGAGAATCGCACGCACGAACATTCTTAACGCTGTCCCATTAGAAATCACACGTTGATAACCCAATAGCTAACGCAACCTATCTCTCCTGACATACGTAGCTTAACCTAACATAACGTAATCCACATCCTTCCACCCTACATTCAATACGGCTAACTCCTCCAATGAGGTAACCCAACGTCCTTCCTTCTTTTCCTTATGGCTGACTCCTCCAATGAGATAATGTGCCAGAAGGTAACCCAACGTAACGCAAACAGAGATGAGTAGGGAGATGCACAATGCTACGGTTTCGGGCGATAACAAAATCTTTGGCGCTAAATCATAGCGGCGAGTCTGGATGTAGAATTTTGTGATCATCGCCTCCGTCGACAATACGAATCCCGTCGTAGCCAAGCTAAACGTGAACACGAACGCGTAACTTGGCGGGCAGAGGTTTTCCGCTACTCACCGCTGGTTCCCTAGGCAACCCTTAAAATCAGACCGGGAACTATAGAACTTCTCGAGAACTATTGAAAAACTCTATTGTCGAAACATTTTTAAGAGATTTGAAAAAAAAAAGTGCGGTGCTGAAGCTGAAACTCGTGTAGCACCTCAATTTTTGTAAAATACGTATTTTAAGGATGTTATGATGAGAACTATTGAAAATGCCTGTTAATGGAACATTTTCCGAAAATTGAGATGCTGCACGGGTATGAAGTTGGCACCCCAATTTCTTAAATATATTTCAACAATACGCTTTTTCAATAGTTCTCGAGGAGTTCTCTAGTTCCTGATAGGTTTTAACAATAATTCTGTTGCGCTACATCGGTATAATATCTATTAAATTTACTGGTGGCATCATATGCTTCATTGCAGGCAGGCATGAGTTGCTGGCTTTTTTCACATTTAACTTACCGAGCTTACACTGTGCGCTCGAACTTAGGAACGCGAAGAAAAAAAAATATTTAGGCTATATTCGATGTGCTACCTTCCCTTCCTTCCTTTCCTTATAGCTGACTCCTCCAATGAGGAGATGTGCCAGACGATGTGCTGCCTCGTTGTAAGTGTTGCTTTGGGTGGTTAGTAGCAAAGAGCCTCTGCTCACCAAGCTACACGTTCGTGATCGCGGTTAGCTCGGCTATGACGGGATCCGCACTGTCGACGGAGGCGATGATGACAAAATTCTACTTCCAGACTCGCCGCAACGATTTAGTGCCATGATTTTGGTATCGCCAAAAAGAGTAGCGTTGTGCATCTCCCTACTCATCTCTACGACGATCAGCTTGAACCAGCCTGGAGCACTGCACCACACTGCACATTCCAACATAAGCTGATATTTGACGTGGATAGAGGCATTGCTATCGAAAAAAGCTTAAGGTAATTTTTTCGAATATTATCAATACCATTAATAATATCAGTTATGTGAAAATTCTTTTGAATTTTACTTATTCTCGAGCACGTTAAAGTCTCTCTTTGATTATGTCTAATACAAACCACCAGCTGTCGGCGAGGTGTGCTTTTTAACAATTTGATAATAAAAAATTTGCTATGTAATGGAACAGCCTCATAATATCAACACATGATACAATTAAATCATTTGGGTGTACTTTTTATGTTCTTAGAAGCAGATCATGGCTGATAGGCAACTTTCGGAACTCTCTCTTGGTAATCTGTTTGTCCTTATATTCTTAATTAGTCCCTATTGCATTATAATTGATCACATTAATCAGGTGGTATTTACACTTCGGAAAAGAATGGCAGTGATGAAAATGGGGATGGTACAGAGTCTAAACCATATAAAAGCATTCTGCAAGCAATTAGACATGCTGGGAAAGAACCCTTTCCAACGATCTACCAAGATTCTAACAAAGAGGGTATGACTTATGAGCCAGCGTCCAAGTCTCAATTGAAGAAGATTCTTAAAATCTGGACAAGGGAGCAGTACAAAAATGAGGAAAAGCAAAAGAAATTAATTGAAGATGAAGACAAAAGATTAAAGAATTTAGAAGAGGCCAAAAAAATTATTATCAATGAAGACAAGGCTCTGCCAACTGCCACTCTCATTAAAATCAATCAAGCAATCAATTTTAGGGATAAACGCGTCAAGTTATGTGGATGGGTTCATCGACTTAGACGACAAGGTATTGTAATGATTAAGTAGCTGTGTCTGAAACTTGATGGATACTGAAAATATCTTTTAGCAAAATCTTGTTAAGTATAATTAGAAAAAAGTAATACATTTATTGCAGGCAAGGCTTTAATGTTTATTACATTGAGAGATGGTACTGGGTTCCTCCAGTGTGTACTGAATGACAAGCTTTGCCAGACCTATGATGCTTTAATTCTATCTACAGAAGCTTCTGTCCAAATATATGGCACTATAAAGGTTGTTCTCGAAGGAAAGACTGTAAGCAAAAATACGTGACACACGATTGCCAACATTACTTTATAGCTGACTAATAACGCAATACTCTTGAATCAGGCTCCTGGCGGGCATGAGTTGTTGGTCGATTACTGGGAACTTATTGGGGCATCGCCTGCCGGTGGCGCAGACACCATTCTGAATGAGGAAGCCCTTCCTGACGTTCAACTCGACAATAGACACATTATGATTCGCGGGGAGAACGTAAATATCTAATTTCGCTATAGGAGATTATTCATTAGATTTGATCTGGCGATCGCTCTTATACGTATTTTTCAGACTTCACGGATCTTGATTATGAGATCCATTCTCTTGCAAGCATTTAGGGAACATTACCAATCAAGAGGATACTGCGAAGTTACTCCGCCAACTATGGTGCAAACTCAAGTGGAAGGCGGTTCCACTCTCTTCAAGCTCGATTACTTTGGGTACGTGGAGGAGACTGAAAGGAGTAATCAAAATCGTGTGCGTAACGGCACTCTGCTAATCTATTAATATTGACACGTAACTCTATTTTGTTTCCATTAGAGAGGAGGCATTTCTAACGCAAAGTTCTCAGCTCTATCTTGAAACGTGTATTCCTGCAATGGGAGATGTCTATTGCATCGCCCAGTCATACAGAGCGGAGCAGTCCAGGACGCGACGACACCTGGCCGAGTACGTTCGTTATGCCGTAGAATCCGCACGTAGACAACATTAAGTAACTATTAGATAATCGCATTGCAGATACACCCATGTGGAAGCCGAATGTCCATTCATTACGTTCGATGATCTGTTGGACCGCTTGGAAGACTTGATTTGCGACGTTGTCGATAGAGTCCTTAAATCGCCCTATGGCTCCCTCGTTAAGGAACTAAATCCCCACTTTAAAGCACCCAAGAAACCGTTCAAGCGAATGAACTACAGCGATGCTATCGAATACTTGAGAGTCAATAACATCACAAAGGAGGACGGAAGCTTTTACGAATTCGGAGAGGTTCGTTGGGATTCAATAATACCTTATTGACTTTCCGAGAACAAAAAAAAAAGAATGGATAACCATACTCGTAAACTTATCCATTGGTAGGATATTCCTGAAATGCCAGAGAGAAAAATGACGGACGCGCTTAACGAGCCCATAATGCTCTGCCGATTTCCGGCAGAAATTAAGTCGTTTTACATGGTGCGCTGTCCCGACGACAAACAGTTAACCGAGTCTGTTGACGTTCTTTTACCAAACGTGGGTGAAATTGTTGGCGGTTCCATGCGCATATGGGATTACGACGAGTTGATGGAGGGTTACGCTCGCGAGAACATTGATCCCAAGCCTTATTACTGGTACACGGATCAGGTAAGTTAGAATGACTATGATGCACGTAATCTTTAACGAGTAAAAGCAGTAAAGACGTTGTAAGGTTTTATTTCATTTCTAGAGGAAATACGGTTCCTGCCCCCACGGAGGTTACGGCCTGGGACTCGAGAGATTCTTGTGTTGGCTTCTCAATAGATATCACATACGCGAAGTATGTCTATATCCCCGCTTCCTAGAACGCTGTCGTCCTTAGAAGAATATTGAGAGAACAGTGAAATATTACAGAGACGCATTACTTATTTTATGTGATAATCAATTATGTAACATAACATAACATTGCCGGTGGCACTACAATAAACTGGATATCGAAAAAAGCTAATAAGCTGCATTGCTAAGATTATTGTATCCAATGGCGGCGCAGCCGATATAGAAGAATAAACGGTTATAAGGCGACGAATTAAAACCATTTCATTTTCTCTCTTATAATCTGAAGAAGATGCCTATGCCTCGATGATATTAACTCTTTTAATACGTACAACTTACATAGAATTACAATATACGATCAAGTGTGCAACGACAGCGAAATTCCCTCGCTAACAAAGTCTTTGTCCAGTGTCTAGTGATCAATTATGTCAGTAGCAGTGTACATGTATTGTATAAGCAAACCAAAGCAACATTTATTCCTCTACTTTCATCGTAATGTATACAATACTGTAAGTAAGACTGCAGGAATAACAGTCCACTTTTATAATTGCCTTTACTTATTCGAATAGCTCAATAGTTTAATAGCTTAACTGTAACATTTTATATATTAATATTTCTTACTATCTTTCTACGCAATATTTATCTATGTATTCATGTATTTTATATACACAAATATATGCATTACATATTATGCATGGGATTCTATACTATCAACATCATATTACACGTCTACCAAATTAATGAAAAGGTAATTGCTCTCGTCTCAACTCTTGTAATCATAGGGGGGAAACTAAATTGTGTGTTCACGTAGCTGTTATCTCTGAGCTTACTAGGCCGAAAAATTGACGAAACAATTTTAATGAATCGTCAATCTCAGCTGAGTGAATACCGGAGTCAATCGAAGATGCATACTGGAGGAAGGAGAACGTGAGAATTTTAGGACTTTTCGAAAGACTTAGAAATTATGATCAATCTCTTATAAAATACTTGGGCAATTCCTTGAAGAGTCTCTGGGAGCAGAGGAGCCAATTAAATTGTATGAAATGACGAAACCTCCCTCTGTTGTCTCGATTCTCGACGCGGACTCATGCAGTAATTTAATAACATCACATGTATAATCGTAATATAGTACCAACAATGTTATATAGTAACAGTTTCTCATGTTATATCAAAGAATAAACAATCTTATAGATTTAAAAAGAATTTGAAAAGTAGCCAGGGAAGAGCTATCTGACATTCCCTCCAAGTTCAACGTTAAGTAATTGTAATACCTAACGCATTATTATTCAGGATTATCGATCGACTGTGACCACCCAGCAGATATGTATATCTGCGATTGGATCGCTTCAAAACCGTAACTATTATGAGAGATGCCCCTAAGCGTACAGTTTGTAATCGGTCGGACCAACCCTTTCAATCGGCTAAATATTTTCGGGAAAACTCGAGTTTTGCAAAATGCAAAAAATAGCTATCATTCCATTCTCTATATTTTACGTAAGAAACAATGAATAATCGAGACTCATTGATTGGCTTCCGCCCAGTCAATTGCTGGAACAAGTGATCGAACGAAAGACACTCTTTTGCATTCACTAAATGTAGAAACTATTGATTGTACTCGGAATCAAACGAGAATTCTTAGATGACGCTCGTACGTTCTACTTTAATTCTGAGCAACAGTCCCTGTCTGTGTTCAGCTGTGACTCCACTTTCTACTACTATCACACAAAGTCTTAATCGAATAATTGATATAGATAATGCTCCGCTATGCAACTTCTAATACAACATCCGATATTTCAATGCATTATTAAAAGTAAACTCACTGAGTACGACTTTCAAGAACTTGTTATGGCACCAATGTGGTCAATAAATATCGGCAAAACGAATGCGAAATAAGGTATCAAGACATTTAGGTACGTATTGTAGGAGTTACATCGAACTAGCTTGTCAAACTGTCCGAGAGTACATCACCTGCATAGTGTATCACATACAACACACTACATCTGTTTTTCATGCGATAACCTAAAATTATCTACGAGCATACACTTACTTAAAACCATTAGCATGGTACATCTCGCTTTAGAATTTTTTAGACGCAAGTGGATAAACCTACATTCAACGATACATAATATTAATAGATGGGTGGCTATATGGGCTCGAATGGTATTAGAGTATTAATATAAATTTTACAGGCAAACGGAATGATTGTTAATAATAATTTAGATTTTTATATGAAAGAGATTTTAGAGAAACACATAATCCAAAGTCATAGAAGATCTGGCTATTGTTAGTTATGTAAGTTTCATTTCACATCGAATGTCGTTTCATCAAAAGGAATCTCCCCCCCCCCCCTG